CATCGGACTCCTGAGTGGAACACCCTTGCCCTGCCCTGCCCTGCCCTGCCCTGCCACCTAGCAAGAGCCCCGACTCTGTCCCAGCCTCATACAAAACCTTCCTTTTGTTTCTTCACCATATTCCAGAACACCTACCGGTTCATAGCTGTTTTGTCCACTTGCTATGAATCTAGTTTTTCCCCCCGGTGCTGTGACATTTGGCTCATAGCAGTACTGAACTCCACACTGGAGAATTCCAGAGGCTGGTGGAAAGAGCCCGCCACAAACTTGGCAGCGTTGGCACGTCTGATTTCACGAAGCCCCTTTGAGCACATCCCAGCTCCGGTTGAAGAGAATGTGCCGCAGCGTCTCGTTCTGGAGACCAGAATCCATGTGTCTTTTATCATTAGAAAAGAAAGGGCCAAGTTGACCTTAGTCTTACCTGCTGTGTCTTTTCTCCTGTGGCCCACTGGGATGTCTTAAATTCAGAAAGCAAGAGTGCAGGCTTACGATTCATAGCTAAGTGAATCCTGGCTATGGAAACGCTTACTTAAGAACCGAAGGAGTGCTTCCCTGGATCAGAGCCAGTCGACCTAGTCCACTGTTCCTCACAGGTGGTGCAGCAGAAACTGGCCAGTGGCCCATTGGTGGATCACCTACCTTCTGCTTAATCCAGGAATGAACACACGACCAACCTGCAAGTATCTTCAAGTAACTGGAGAGGCTACGCTCAAACAGGAGAAGGCATCAGCAGCCAACTGAAGGACGGGCTTTCCAAAGACTGGGAGGCTTCAGGCCGTAGGGTTCAGACAACCAGCTGAAGGAAAGACCCATGCCAGAGAGGGTTCAGTCCCTTACAGCTGACTCCACCCTCTCGGAGCCGCCGTGTGCTTCTCACACATGAAGACTTTTCTTACCGGATGCGCTCTGTCCTGCTGTGCAAGAGCTCAGCGCCTGAACGGCCAGCTCTTTCCCCATGGACAGTTACATGAAATACACCAGTGCTGCTCCACTGCCCCAAACAGAACAAGGCAGCTGCCTGATGGGTCGAGCTGGGCTTGCAAAGCCGCAGAGAGAAAATGCTGAGCCGGTTCACATGCAACGTCAGGTCAGAGCCTGAGCACACACCTTTGCAAGCCCGTCCAAGGAGCAGCTGTTGGACGGTTGCAGCTGGGGCCCTGGAGACCAGCATCAAAGGCCTCCCTGCACTGCTGCTCTTGGCCACAGCACCAGGAGCCATCTTGTGACCCCCTTGTGCTCTGGCTCCCTTCATCCCCTCACCTGGATCCTGGCTCACGTCTGTTGCTGCCTGTTCCTGCTCCCATCCTGGCCTCCAGCCTGACCCTGACTCCCAGGTGCCTGCAACCCATCCTCCCTGGCCTCACCTTGCCCTCACGTGATCGTCTTTCTGGAATTTGACCTTTAGGCTGTGCTGTTGCACTGTGTTTGCTTGGCTTCGTTGTCTCCCTGCTTTGACACTGAGCTGATAAATGTGCCTCTTGCTTCTGGCCCTCAGAACCTGCTGCAGGATTCCGTCTTGCTCCTGTGCCCTGGTCCTGGTGTTCCAGCCATAGCTGCCCGTCACCCACACCCACATCCCTTACATGCAGCGTCTCGCGTTGTCAGTTTACTCCCAGGAAGCATTCCTGCAAACATGACTGCATGTTCCTTGCATTCGTTCTGACTGCTCTTTGCCCTGCAAAAGACTTTTTTCCAAGTTGCAATGCATAACAACACATGATGGTCCGTATTTGTTTATTCCAGTCCTCTTCTAGGAAGCGGGCATGTTGCTCACAGACCAGGGAAGGGTTGTGGTCCGCTGAGGTCACCCTGTTTGTAAAAACCAGACATCACAGAGGAGCTGTGTCAAGCCTTGAAAATGCAAATCACGTTGCCAGATGCCCAGCTCTAGGCTGCCAAATCCCAGCCCCGGTCATGCTGTGGAAATTGACAAGTCCCTCGGGAAGAGGCAGGGGGCAGTCTGCCCACTTGGCCAGAAGAGCGGGGCAGTGGTTCCCTTTGACCACAAGATGTGGAGGAAGCACAGTGCACCTCGGCTTCAGAGCAGGGCATGGTACTGCTGGCTCCTCATTACCACCCAGTTCCCTGGGTTCGTGCTTTTGGAATCTTGGCACAAACGGCCTGTGGTTCTCTCCCCTCCACTCAGGAGGCGCCAGCTCTGCAGGCCCTTGGCCAGCTCCTGAGACACCACATGTCCTGCCGTGTGGTTCGGTGTTCCTCAGCTTCTATTTGTCTCTCGCTGGGTCCTTTAGAAGCACCTTTTGCAGCAACTTGGCAGCACGTTTGTGCAGTGGATCTCCAATTGCAGCCAAATGGAGAAGTCATCAGAATGTCAGCTGCCGCATGTCTCTTGGAGTGCAGAAGTGGCAGGCCAAGGCAGCCTCCCGTTGGCTCGCTGACCTGGTGCTACATGTGCCGAGTGCCGGAGCTTCTTATTCAACAGGGTGTCCCTGATGTACACATTACGGCTTGCTGCTTCTGTCTCCACTTTCATCTGTATCGGCAGCATTAAATATTATTATATCATTTACTCTCTTGAGCAGGAAGATGATGTTTGGCAGCTTGTTCTATGAATTTTTCATAAAGATAAAAAGCAGCCTAATCTGGTGAGCTTTAACTCTCAGTAGCAGTAATGGCTTTGATTTAAAGTGTTTTGTCTTAATGATAGTTATATTGAAAATTTCCTGCTGCTTTTGAGCACACACGGTTATTATCAGAAACACTGGTGGTGCAAATGGCTGCCAAATTGTGTGTGGCAAGCGAAGGGGGGAGAGCAAGAGAAGGGGAGCCTGTGTCAGGAGGTGGCTGCCAAAGAGACCTTTTGTTCCGAGAGCGTTTCACGTGTGAGGTCTTCCTGAAGTTTCGCTTTGAGCTCTGGTCACTCTCATTGGTGTTTTCCAGGCTATATTTATGGTTTGACATGGTGCAAGGCAGAGGAGGTCAAAGCTGTGCTTGCACAAGTCTTTTCCTGAGAAGCGGCAGGCATCTGGGAGGGCTGAAGTGTGCAGAAGCCATTCTGTGCAAGGGCTGGCACACCCGCTTGTTAAAGGTGCCCTGGAGGTTCTGGAAAGAAGGCCACCGACGAGGACAGCTCCTCAGTAGGGACCAATTATTTGCGTCTACCTCGGCAGGAATTCCCCATGTGACTGTAGAAAGAGGCCTACCCGCAGATCCGCCTGGGGTTGCTTCCCAGTGGCTGGTGCAGTTGGGAAGACAAGCCATCCAAGCCCACAGCTCGTCAGTTCTGTGAGAAACACAAGGTGGCACCAGAGGGAATTCTGTTGGCAAAGGGGTTTGTGTGGAAACGAGTTCTGCTTGAGTTAGTTCTGCCGGTAATGTGCTTGTGGGGGGGGGGGGGGGGGGGGGGGGAATCTCCTCTCCTCTTCCTCTTCTCAGTCTGCATCCTTAACATGGGTGTAGAGAAACAGTCATTGAAGGTAGCTGCACTTGTTCCACTGATGTTTGGGACCTAAATGCCTCAGCTGTCTGACCCCGTGTGATGCATCTTGCAGTTCCTTCTCGGCATGCAGCTTAGGAGCACTTGTCCAGTCTCCAGGAAGCGAGGTGTTTGGCTGCCTCAGTCAAATAGGAAAGGAACAGAAACAACTGGAAGTTACTCTGTAGAGAATCGAGGTAGTTTGGACTGGGAAGGCCATCTCCTGTGAGCTGTTCCTCCTTAGTTCTTTCTTGAGTGCTTCTTCTGGGGGGCTTCCTGCTTTCATGATGCTGTGCTAATTTGATGATAGTTAGTGTTAAACTAACAGAAGACCAAACCCATTTGCCCCCTTTTCAGTGCAACTTCCCATTTTTTCACATGCCTGTTCAGGGCTGCTCTTGCCTTGAGCTGGGCAGGGGAATATAAACATGGAGGTGTGTCAGAGTTCTAGATGCTGCAGCATCTTTTGCTGCGAGCACCAGGAGCAGCGCATGCTTTCGTCATGCGAGTGCACACTGGTCCTGCTTCCTTATTTACTGTAATGTATTAAAATATGCTTTGATGGAAAGAAAAAGCACATTAGCAGTTTTATTCCAGTATGCCTAGATACACCAACCCAGCTGAGAATTGTTGTCCTTTAAACTCAAACGATGCCTCCTGGGTGATGAGGCTAGAACAAGCACCATACTCCAGATCCCAACGAGCCATTTGGAGAGTGGCCATTTCAAGCAACAGCTCAAAATGGTGTGAGCTTCACTTACCTGATCTGGGGCCATGTGTGCTCCAGTTCCAGTGGCTGAGGGATTTAATACAATTTCATATTGAAATTGAGAATCAATCCGGTATCTACAATGATAGAGTCACTGTATCTCCAGGGATCCCCAGTTATGTTTTTTATTCTCTGCCTGGTGACTGATGGGCTCCAAGACACAGTGGGCCCCGAGCTGCTGTTCTTGTACAATACAGTGCTAAATTGGGGCTGGGGGAGGTGATCTTGGAGGATCCAGAATTCCAGGACTATCCAGGTAAGAGAAGATGAGGGTTTTTCCCAGCAAGGCTGCGAAAATTTGGCACACGTTTTCATAGACTCATCTGGTGTGACAATTTCATGTACATAAATTCATGCACAGACTTTATATTTGTATCCACTGCTCTGTTGGGGCTTTTACTTCGTAGATGAGCCCTTGTAGGTATTGCAAAGTTTCCAGCAGCCAGCTTCAGTTCAGCTTTTCTCTGCACTTCCCAATATGCACTATGCCCTTTGGTTATGTCGGTTAGTTGGGCCCTGTTCATATGTCGTATTGAACCTGCTAAGAACAAGCGTTTCTAGTACATCTTATTCTAGACTTAAAAAAAAAAAAATCCAGGCACGATGCCTTTATATCTTTAAGGACCCTTGAGCATGTAGGATGAAACCATGGTCCATTCTCTCCTCTGAATTCTATTTTGTGTTCTCATATGTTTTCATTATTTGTAACTGTAAAAAAAAAAAAAAGAGTACAATTTAATATTGAAAATAAGAACCAGTCCAGTATCCACAATGATGGAGTCACTGTATCTCCAGGGATCCCCGATTACGGTTTCTATTCTCCGCCCGGTGACCAACGGGCTCCATTATCGTATGCAGACTATGGTTCCATGGGGCCACGGGTGGCTCAGATGCTTCGCAGCGAGCCCCCTGCTTCAGCGAGTAACTCCCCCCTCCACCACCTTCCCAGCCCGGATCAGTTTAAAAGCCCAGGTTTGTATAGAATTTCATTCCTTTGGGGAAGCAAAGAAAAAAGTGAGAAAAATTATGATAACAGCATCACATATGTGACGATGCACGGAAAGAGGATTGCATGCTCTGCCACTCCCCGGTTGGCTACCAAGCTTTGCTCCATTTTTTTTCTCCGTTCCAGGTTTTTTTTTAGTCAGCTTTGTTGTAATTTTGATGGGCACTGCGCTACTGTATGAGCCTATCCATATCTGAGAAAATGTCAGTGGAAATTTAGGACTTTTGGAGAGGCATAACCCCAAAGACGAAGGGAGCCAACTGGGCTGCGCGGGGCTGTGCACCACTTCAGACGCAAGCCCTGCTTTACACAAGCCTTATTCTTCGTTCTCTTTGCTGGGGCTCAGATCAAAATTAACGCCGTTCTTGGACTACTGAAGCAGCCTTGCCTGTTTAGGGTTCTTCAGCCACAGGGAGGCTGCTGCAAAACATTTTCAAACTGCACAAGGAAGGTCGTCCATTGTTCAGTATTAATGTGTAAGTGCTGAAATGGAAAGAGATGCATTTGGAAATGCCTCTTAGTTTGAGTTTGCTTATAGAGAGATGGGATATTAATGTAATAGATTTTTAATGCTCAGTCAAACAAAATAGTTTTACTAAGATCAGTCAAAATGTTGTTAAATGGTTTGTTGGTTTTTGAGTTCTCCAGAGCTTTTGATTAGGCTAGAAGTTAAGCTTAAAGGAGAGAGGAAGATAAAAAAAAGTTGTATGCATACTATAGATAGATCTTTGCTCTCCTGAGAATTTTTTGACTTTGAGATTTTCTGCACGAGGCTGTTAATCTGCTGCATCTACTTTTGATTTTGTCACAGAATCACAATCTGAGTGCACACAGGGTTTCCTTCCTGCTACGTAACTTCTAGGGGGCACTGTGGCATAGCTGAAGCGAGTCATTACACAAATAGCAGAAGTGTTTTCTTTTACTTTTACAAATAATATTGCATTTTCCCTGCTATCAAGAAACCTTGGTGAAAGTGCCATTTAAAAACAGAAGTGCAACTGGAGGTCACAACAGTCTCTGAAGAACCCAGAAACAGCCAGAAGTCAGGAATGATGAGCACAGAATGAATGCCTCATCTAAGAAAGCTCTTTGAATCTCGGAGATTTTCTTAATGTATAGTGGTGAGCTGTTGCCTTAGTGGTTTGACCCTAAAGTGTTTTCTGCTACACCTTTCCTTATCTATTAGGTGTGTGCATTTCTCTCATCCTCTGATGTAGCTGCAAGGAGAAGACTGAAATCATCCACTTCCATTTTTCTCCAACTGCAGTGTTGTTTTATCTGAACTAGTCATTGTGTAACCATGGTTTTATCCAAGATATGGGGGAAGAGCGGGTTGACCATGTTTAGGCTAACAATTTGTTTAGGCTAACAGTTTTTGGAACTAGTCACAATTCCTAGTTTTTTTAAGATGTTTTGAAAACCAGGATTTGCTTAATGTGTGAAATGGTTCCTCGCTGCCTTAAACAGAAGAGGTGTAGCCAGATCCAGCAGCTTGTTGACCTCCACAAGTTTTGGACTACAGGTCCACCAGTGACATCTAGCATGGCCAACAGTCAGGGATATTGGGAGTTGTAGTACAAAGCATCTGAATAACGCCAAGTTCTTACCGCTGCTATATACCAAGCCTAATTTGGTTCTTAAGTAGCAAAAACCACCCATACGCAAAACCTCTGCATAAGAGAGAAGTGTCAGAATTACAGAAATCCTGCATGGGGGGAAAAGTAACTGTGTTGGGAGTGTGGTGTGTGCAGAAGCCTCGAAGCCCCGGCTCACAGGGTCCTCTCCAGAATGCATGTCTGAATTAGGGTTCCCAAGGAGCATGCGTGAAGACCCTCTTTGGACCCAATGTGCAGAGATCTGAGGACTCGCTCTTCCAGTGTTCAGCCGAACACCCGAACAGAGTTGCGGCTGCATCCATGCACGCAGAGGTGAGAAAGACCCATTGTCCCCAAGCTGGACAACATCTTCCATCATCCCATGAGCAGTGACCATGCTGTTTCAGCTGATGGTCTAGACTCGGGGTTACAAAAACGAGGTGTCCTAGCACGGTTTTGATGGTTGGAATGTGTTTAGAGTGGGCAGAAATGATGAGCTGCGCAGAAAAAGCTACTCGGGGAAGGCTTTTTCAAAGTTGCCCTCTTTTCAATGGAACTTGAGTCCTTTATTAGAGTTAGGGGTGTGCACCAGGGTAGGGTTAGGGTTAGGAAAACGAGGTGACCTGGCATGATTTCGATGGTTGGAATGTGTTTAGAGTGGGCAGAAATGATGAGCTGCGCAGAAAAAGCTACTCAGGGAAGGCTTTTTCAAAGTTGCCCTCTTTTCAATGGAACTTGAGCCCTCTATTAGGGTTAGGGGTGTGCACCAGGGTAGGGTTAGGGTTAGGAAAACGAGGTGTCCTGGCATGATTTCGATGGTTGGAATGTGTTTAGAGTGGGCAGAAATGATGAGCTGCGCAGAAAAAGCTACACAGGGAAGGCTTTTTCAAAGTTGCCCTCTTTTCAATGGAACTTGAG